CTCAGGAGTTATTCTAAAGTTTTTTCCTAGAAGAGATTCTTTTTTTGGAACCCAACATTCTTTCAAGTTAACCAGAACCATTACCTCATGAATTACACCTTTTATGATGAATTTGAAAAAATACAGGCATGTAAATTACCATTAAACACTTATTCAGGAATGACACAAAAAAGGAATTAAAAAAAAAAGATTATATGGAGGTGAGTGGTTACAGTGTTTATCTGAATTATTTGAAGAGGCACTGAAATCAAATTTTACAATAGGTACACATTTAAAGGGCAATGGGCCATTTTTATGTCAAATAAATTTTTAACTCAAGAGTTATTTCAAAGTTTTTTCTTAGAAGAGATTCTTTTTTTTTGGAACCCAACATTCTTTCAAGTTAACCAGAACCATTATCTTATGAATAACACCTCTTATGATGAATTTGAAAAATACAGGCATGTAAATTACCATTAAACACTTCTTCAGAGAATGACACAAAAAAGGACTTTTTTCAAAAAAAGATTATATTGAGGTGAGTGGTTACAGTGTTTATCTGAATTATTCAAAGAGGCACTGATATTAAACATTACAATAGATACACATTTCAAGGGCAATTGCTGGCCATTTTTATGTCAAATGAATTTGTTGATTATTGAGGCAAACAAGGACTTATACAAGGAGTTGTACAATTTTTATTTGTTTCTTGTTTTAAATATATTTTTTTTTAAACCCAGCATTCTTTCAAGATAGCCAAAATAATTGTCCTATGAATAACACCACTTGAGGATGACTTAAAAAATAAACAGTCATGTACACTACCATTAATCACTCCTTCAAAGAATGACACAAAATAAAATGCTACTAGTTTTTTTTTACACAAAAATGAACATATTAAATTGAGTGATTGTTCATTTCATGAACTGTGTGCACTTGAAGAGTCAATGCTGTCAAATATTACAAGAAACAAAAATTTTCTTAATATAATGGAGGCAAACAAGGGATAGTTTTAAAGGTTTCTTTTGTGCCTTGAAAAGAATTGTTGGGACCCAAGATTATTTCAGAATGACCAAAAACATTATTTTAATGAATACCAAAGCTAGAGGATGAATTGAAAAATACAGTCCTTTATTGAAAAACAGATCTATTTTTGTCAAATGGCTGCTGTTTAGGCAATAAACCCTGTTGATGACTGATATGAGGGTTCCTCTTTGAACATTATAGATGAAAGAACTGAATACAGCAGTTGCTAAATAATTTATTTTTGAATTCCGTCTAAATTTGTAGTTTTTTTCGGAGTCAAAATCAACTCAGCAAATTTCTAAAAAACACAAGAAACAGTAATTCACACCCACACACTCACTCGCTATTCGAATCGAATTTGCCCACGATTTTCGGTTTAAGGGAGCTCAACTCACTTCAAAGGTTTTTGTTTTTGTATGGAACTCAGGTTTTCTGATCCTTTGTACTTTCACAGAATAGAGAAAAAAAATTTGATTTAGGGAGGAAGTTAGTTTTTGTTTATTGTCTGAAAGGAAAATTTCGAAGAAGATGACCATGGATGGTGGCACTGGTTTTTAGCAACTTTTCTTCGGGACTTGTTTTGGCTCTTCAATAAGCCCAGAATCGTTTTTTTTTTTTTTTTTTTTTTTTTTTTTTTTTTTTTTTT